GCGATTCATCCCTTCTCATAACATGCCCATACCACTCTAACCTTTTACTCCTTATTTTCTCAACCACTGGGGCTACTCTCAAACTTCCTATATATAATCAGCACCTTAATCTGCAAATAAAATTAACAAAGCACAATAGTTTTCCGAGTTTTTCAATTGTTTTTAATGTAATAAAAATAATGTCCCATTATTAATGAATATAAAAATGAAAGGCTCGGGCAGCCGCACAAACGCCGGTGCAAACATCTAATACCAATATATCACACGTCCAGCAAACGTTGGCTTATCAATTTATGGTCCCATTGTATCGAAACTTGGTCCCTGCATGGTGCAACAGACGACAAACTGCGCAACTTGCCACATAAATTAAAACGTGAGATATTTAGCGCTGCACCGCAATTTAGATATTATTCAATATATGGAAACTTCCTCCGAAAATATATCGGTTGTGCTGTTCAATTAGCGAAATCAATAGCTTCATATTGTGCATTGAATGCAAGCATAAAAAATATACACGTAAGCGCCAATATACGCATGCAACTTCAAGCAATCGGCAATATGTAGTTCGAAATTGTCCGTATAATAAAATCATAGAAGAAGAATGTACTTCTAACTACACATTCTATAAACTACATGTCTGTTAGATTGAATGTTTGTACAAATCAATGGGCAAACACGGGTCCAACTAATCCGGTCCAACGCAGCACCTTTCTCCGACAGTCTTATACCTCCCGGGGTACCCATCCATTGTCATGTATTGATAGATACATCAATGGATTCAGATTACTAGAAGTGATACTTCGATTTCAATAAAACAACCGAATCCATTGATTTTCCTGCAAGACCCATGCATTTTACATCGGAAATGAGGGCGACATGTGTAAATAAGTAATTTGATTTATCCTTGTCATATTTGTAGATGAATTGAATGATAAATAAAATTTAGGCAAAATTAACATAATATAACTAATTGTAGTTATATGTTTGTAATATTGATTATAACCTTATTTTAATTGCAAATACTTTTTGTTGTTAAAAGTTCTTTAAAACATTTCTCGTTTAACTAATGCCACATCTAGTTATAGTCCTCGAGGTGATTTGGGGTGGCGTAGTCCAGGTGATGTGAACATTAACCATCCGTAAGCAGATTAATTTGCGGGCGTGTCCTCGCTCGGCTGTCGAGAGGTTAAGTAGTGACGGTTAACGCGGCTGACTCTAGTTTGCGTTAGGGATGCAGGTTAAATACGACGTCGTTCGGTTAATTTTAGGGATAAATATGTCAGTTGTTATGAGCCGTTTTGGGGCGAACGTGATTTAAGTGTCTCAGATATTAACGTTCGTTGATGGCGCTTAATGAATATTGCTTTTAACTTGGTGAAGCTCCCTGTTTACGTAAGCACTGGTAAAGGAAATCGGTATAATAAAGTGTTAGATAAACTATGTTTTAAAATGTTAATATTTAATAACAACCTCGGATTAAAAAATAAACACCACTCAATTATTTAAAAAGGTATAATAATGAACAATTGAAGTTTGTTTTTTACATTCTTTATTTAATTAACGTAATGTCATTTGTCAGTCTCCACATAAGGGTGACGCCACACCACGCAGCGCAATCTCATGTTGTGCGCGCGCCCACAAACTACACCTATGTACATATATCATAATGACCGTATATGTATAATAGGCCGTATATGTATACATGTAAAAAATAAATTTAAAAATTATAAAAGTAGTTCCACAAAAAAGGGTACATTATTCATTTAAAAATTCATAAGAATGACATTTATGTTACCTTAATCCATATATTTACAACTCAATTATTCAAAACATAAATAACAATGGATAAATCCCAGGTGAAAAGTGCTTAGTATTCCACATCAATCAGTTAGCCGCGGCGCTATCAAAAAATCATAATTGATTTCGTTCACGGGCTATATGTCAAGCGCGAACGCAAATGGCTTACATCGGCCATATTGAATTAGTGCGTGGACGCGGCGCAGCGTCGCGCGGACAGCGCTCGTGTGGACATGCCTTTATGTTTCATGTTATGGTAACGAAAGCTAGTAGTCTTAATCAGGATTTTTCTAAAACGCATTAACTAAACAAAATAGTAATTTATTGATTTTTCAAAATTGTTATAATTTATTTATTGTGCGTTTTTTGTTTTTAAACAGTTTCTAAATTTGGAAAACTAAGTCATCTAAAAAATGTCAAGTATTTACAACAATCACAAAATGCATTTTTTGTCCTTACTACGCGACTCCATTCTTTTCCTGTTATGTTTCGTTGTTCACTCATAAAATTAATTAAAAAACACTTCAGTCCGGCGATTTTGTCCAAATTGATTGAGAGC